TGACTAGAAAGGATACGGCCTTAGAGGCGTTCAGGCATAATCCCACGGATGGTAGCTTCGCACCACCGCCCGCTCGAGCGAGTGCGTGAACCAAATGTCCGAACCTGCGGTTCCTCTCGTACTGAGCAGGATTACTATCGCAACGACGAGTCATCAGTAGGGTAAAACTAACCTGTCTCACGACGGTCTAAACCCAGCTCACGTTCCCTATAGGCGGGTGAAGAACACGCGTCCTGACCGATTCGCCTTGTATGGTGGAAAGTCGTAGTAGATTGCAGTCTTAGAAGACCTGACTGATTCTGACTAATCCGCCTCGTATGGTGAAAAGTCGTAGTAAATTGCAGTCTTAGAAGTAAATTCAAAGTTTTTCAAAAGATCAAAAAGCGATATTGGTATGAAAGGAAAAGGAAATTGCAATTTTAAAATTAACAAATTTATTCATTATAAAAACTTAAACAAAACAATATAATTCTTCTAATATAAAAAAAATTAGAATTTATATCATAACATGAAATAATAATTATAATACAACATAACTATAACTGCTAACTATTACACAAATTAACACACACATAATCACACTTTCCTGATCCCATCATTGTATAAAGATAAATGGACGGAGACGCTGAAACTGTTTTGAAAAATTTAAGAAAATAGTTTACGTTCGTTTTTAAATACTTACCAATTATATTATTATGTGTCCCAACTAATCATCATCATCGTCGTTGTCGTCATCATTGTAAACACGAGCCAATGGATATATTTTGTTGGTTGTAGTTGTTTTCAAATTTATCCCCGAAGTACCTGGTTGATCAAAAATTGATACTCTTCGCCTTAGTTGAGAATCCGTAAAAATAGGAATTTCTGTCTCTAAGTTTGTGACTATTGGCATTGGATCTTCCAGAATATTGTCTTCAAATTCCGCTAGTAATGTCATCCAATCCAAATCACCAATATTTGTTTCGTCGTCAATGTTCTGAGGAATTATTGGATCCGGTCGTTCTGTAGTTCCTTGTCTCACGGTGGGTAGAATTTGGTTTGTTGTAACAACATTTTTATATACTACATTTCTGGTAAACATTCGTCCATTACGATATCTATATTTTCCTTGTTGTGGACCGTCTGTCATAAAAATTTTTAAATTTTCTCCTATTCCCACTCGGCTCATAGCAACGTATAATTGTCCATGTACAAAGCATGGTCCATCAAGGTATATCCCCAGTTTTTGAAATGTCTGACCTTGAGATTTATTAATAGTTATTGCAAAGGCCAATTTTATAGGAAACTGTTGCCTAATAATTGGACGTGGTAATCCTGTGCCTTCTGTGGCTTTTGTTTTTACTTTAGGTAAAGTAATTATATTGTCTTTGCCTTTACCCGAAATCACTTTTGCAGTTAAAACGTAATCCTTCATTTCAAGAATTTGTAAGCGTGTACCATTACATAGTCCCAATTCAAGATCCACATTTCTAAGCAGCATTACAATTGCTCCATTTTTCAGTTTAAGTTCAAATGGTGGTAGACACGCTGTTTCCACATTATTTAGAAAATCTTGCGGAACGTAAAAATTATCTTCTGGATCGGATTCATATAAGTCTTGACCGTAAAATATCCTTCCTTCTCCGGGAATCAAATTTAAAATTTTTTCGTTTATTTGCTGCACAGATACATTTTTAGGGCAAAGTACCGCACGATGTGCTAACCGCTCATCATCAATAACATTAAAGTTGATGTCTCCAAACACATGTTCCAATAGATCTTCTAAACTATAAACTAAATACTGCTGTGGTATTTCAATTAAATCTTCTGGAACAGCAAAATAGACATCATTTATTTTTGCCCTTGGTACTTTTCCTTCCCCAATATTTAATAAGAAGTTGGGAAATGAATTGTCTACATTATTATCAAGTGCTGCATTTTTATATCTCATATTTTCGGTCAATTTTAATTGCACTACTTTATTCCAAAATGGAAGCGCCTGAATGCATTCATTTGCAATTTCACCTGCGTGCGCTCTCGGCACAACAGGCAATAATTGTCTGAAATCACCACCAAACACAAAAATTTTGCCCCCAAATTCTTTGTCACGATCCATTAGACGTCGTAGATATCGGTCAATTGCCAATACTGCTTTTCTTGGAGCCATTGACGCTTCATCCCATATAATTAAACTTGCTTTTTTAACAGCGTTAGATTCATTACTATCTTCTCTAAATCCTCCAACTGTGTATTCTGTCAACAGCAATGGCAATCGAAAAGACTTGTGAACGGTTTTTCCTTCATTTAATAATGTTGCTGCCATTCCAGTCCACGCCATAGCAATGTAACTTTGATGAAGGCGTTCTCTTGTCACACGTTGTAATACGTTGTAAAGATACGTTTTGCCGGTACCTCCTGGACCATCCACATAAAATACATTATTTGTAGTATTTCCTGTTCGAATGTATTCTTGCAAAGCAGTTATTATTTCATTATATGCCACTACTTGGTTACGATTTAAGAGACCAATTGCTTCGTCAATTTCTTGATTGTCATCTCTTGTATTTATATTTCTTTCAATATCTCCAATAAAATCTGCAAAAGTAAGTGGCACTGATTGCAAAACGTTTTCTTCTAATGTAATTTCAGGTAATCGTAAATCTTTCATCGATGGTATTGTTGGCAAATTGGTTCGTTGTAAATACATTTTTATATGGTAAAGTGCTTTCTGTTCTGCAACTTCCATACTATCTTTGTATTTTCGTTGAAAATCCTCAATCATATAATTTTTGTACTTTATATACATATTTGCGACAAAACTCATGTCGGCACCTTCGCCAATCATACATACGATACTTAAGGCAAATAGTTCTCTTATTTCAAAAGCACGTTTGGTGTGAACTGATTCGTTTAATGCTTCATCGTATGTATTTGCATCGTCTAGCAGATGAAGTTCTCTACATGCAGATTCAAAGGTATTCATAGTATGACCATTGACAGTTTTTAAATCTTCGAAGGAACTTGCTCCTGGAATAACCTTTAACAGTAATCTGAGATAATAGCGCTCCCCTTCTTGGTAACTAACTTCGGCTAAAGCGCCAATGGTTTTGCTTACTTGTCTTCTTTCTGCCCATAGTGAATTTTGATTTTGCCAAGTGTAAAACTCCGGTATCTCAGCATATTTATAATGTCGAGCCTCTGGATGGGTACGATTAAGCTCAAACCATCCCATCAACTTGGATGGTTTTCTAGCCAGTTCTTCAATCCTCTCAAGATCCTCATCCTCTTCAAACATGATATCTTGTTCATTAGGCAAATGAACTGGCAAAACGATAACAGAATGCGATCTATCGCTAAGTACAAATTGGAATAACCTCCATGCAGCTTCGGTAGAACTGACGTATCGATAGTCTTGATACTGACGTACCTCATCCCAATCGAGCACACCTTCTTCATTTGCATTTTGATTTTGTGCTTGTACCGTTATGTAGTCTGCACCTTTCTCTACATATTTGTGAAGGTATTTAATAGTATAAATGGATCCACAACACTCGACGTTTATGTGACAATCGTAACGACCTGACAAATACTTATTGTGGGGTACAATCCGTCTGTTATCGATTGCCGTACCCTCAAAATCGATAGTTCTACCGTTATTTGGTCTTCGATAATCAGGTTGTCGTATAGGATTATCGCCCAGTAAAATAGTGTTGTCACAAAACCTTTTCGGATAGTGTTTACTGCAGGTACCATTTACCATACATGGAGCATCTGGATAACTATTAATACCACACGGTCGATGTAGATAATGTTTCTTCACTAACATATACATTCGTGGTTCAATGTCTTCATCGGGTATCACAGCTGACACTGCAGAATCCACCAAGTCTTCAGTGTTTAACTTATCTTCTGGTCTTAAAGTTACTAATATATGTGCATGTGGTAAGCCTCTTTTCTGAAATTCTACGCTGTACATATAATTCAGGACTACTCCAAATATTTGCCCATTTGCAATTTCATCTATTAAATCAAGTAATTTAGTATGAAACACTCGACACACAAGATCCGGGCGGTGTTCATATTTTTGTTTGTATTGCAAGTGTCTTTGTATTTCAGGCCATTTCGGGTTACACGTCATGGTAATGAATAGGTCAGGCTTTCCATGTCTAGCCACTATTGACATAGCGTCTAAATATTTTCTTTTTTTTTCTCGTGGACTATTTATAAAAGCTGCAGGTAAAATTGTAATTTTACCAACTCTGACATTTTCTCTTGCAGCTCTATTTTCTAGATGTCTTCTAATTGCCGTATAATTAGCCACTCTAAGTTTTCGTTGATTTGTCTTTATGTACCATAAAAAATTAGACTCTGCTCTGACCCATGAGTCTACTATATATTGCTGGAAGAGCTTTCCGCTATTATGCAAAATTGAAAAATGATCACGGACTTGCATCCTGTATCGATAGAATTCTCTAATAGTCACTTTAGTTCGCGTATTTCTTCTTCCAAATTGGTTATTTCTTTCGTCATGTCTTTCTTCGTCATTTGTTTCTTCGTTCTCATTGTTATTGCCACCATATGCATGAAGAATATTCATGTCATATCCGAATTCTCCATATGGAAACAAAAGGGGATAAACTAAGGGATCCGCCAAACGATTTAAATTTTTCAGTTCGTTTTGTCGACCCGTTTCTTTGTCATAAATTATTAAATCAACGTCAAATGGAGGTTCGTCCCCTTCAAATACAGCCGCAATATCACTGCGACTAGTCGGTAGATTGTAATTTCTTAGATTTTCGTTCATTCGATCCTTAAACGCAACAATCATATTTCTTACTTCATTGTTTTGCAATTGACGTCGCTTTTCTTCCACAACTTCCTTTATAGAATTATATGAAGCAATCCACCGATTGTCACGTCTTAATACATGCTCAAGCAGTCTAATAATTTCAGGATCTAATCTTTCCCCAACAAATGCTGTACGCCGTTCTATAGCATCTTCAGCGTCTAAGAAATAGTAATTTCCTCTTGTAGGTTCGCGATTTTCTTGTGACGCTATCGGTTCCAGGAAGTGATAAATTTGTCCGCAGACATTAAAGCACCAAGCTCCTTGTTGTTGGTTTCTATCTTCAGGAATTTTGGCTTTGAAAGAAGCCATTGCAAATAGGCTGTTTGCTGATCGTATCTGTTCTCGATAATTAATTGCCAAGTGGTCTTCTCCCGTTAACAGTTGGCGAAGCTCTGGGGGACATTGGACCAAGTCTGGTATTTTAACCTTACCATAATTGCAGCACAAAAAACGCCCACGTGTTGAAATTGGCACTCTTTCCTTTTGAAAAAACTTCGCATGGCAATGATTGCACATTGATATCATCTCTCCGATGTTGTGAGATTCCAACTCTTCTATGTTTTGCGTTCTTAAGGCCAAACGGTATGTTCTTCTGTGTGGAATTTCTGCGTGTCTTCTTCGTGGAGGGACGACAAATCTTCTTGGCGGTCTAACTATATCATCTTCGTCAACATTTATTACAGTTTCTTGAATTCTCCTTTCAATGATAGGATCCCGAAGAATGTTCACGGACACTGTTCGTATGTTAATCATTTCTTTTGTACGTTGAATTTGATGAGCTCGTGCCATTTCATCCACTCGAGCATCGCGTTCGACACAAACAATTAATCTAGAATTATCTTCTTCCGTACCAGCAATTTGAACTTCAACTCTTCTGTGTGATTCACGTTGATTTTGTTTTTTGACACGTTTCGCTCGTGTTTCACGGTATATCGAATGTTGTGAAGACATTTTTCCCCTCAATACTGTAAAATATTTATGGTAAAAATAATCAACTTTTTGTTTTAATTATATTATTTTAATGTAATAAGTAAAAATTATATAAATCTAAATTACTACGTTAATTATTAATGGTAATTAGAATTAAAATTTTGTTAATTGTATAATATTGAATTATTAAATTTATTTTAAATTAAAAAAAATATCCAAATTAAATTAAAAGCTTTAGAATATGAAATGCTATGATATTGTTTACTCACCAAAATTAGTTAATTAATTATTTTTTATAACACAATCTCACTACTGTAAATTGCACTAGTACTTTACTGAATTAGTTGGTCACTTATTTCTTGACTGTTATTTGATTAAACTTTGAACCCTGACTCACACCAGTCTCGTATATATAGAACCTCCCCACTATCTTCCAAAACATTCCGAACATTTCCGAACATTTCCGAAATGTTCTACAAGTTTCTGGAATTCCAATGAAATTCAGTTTGTCGATTTTTATTTCTAAGAATTTTGAACTCCTGTAATATTCTATAACATTCTAGAACATTCTATTTTTATAGAAAAAAAAACGATATTTTGTTTGTTTCTTGTATTTTTTTTATTTATTACTTATTACTAGCATGTGGAAGTTGTAGAATATTTTATAACATAACAAAGCATTCCAGAATTCTCTAATTTGAATTTAAGCTAGAATGTTCTATTTGTAATGTAGATAAGAAAACCGTCTTTTTGTTAATTTTTTTTTGGTATTATTGATTATTGGTCATTAATAATCCTTTTTTCTAGAATATTCTAAAATATTCAAGAACATTCTAGAACGTTCTATTTCTAATTTAGATAAGAAAATCGTTTCTTTTTAATTTTTTTGTTCTTATTCATTCTTGGTCTTTAATTTTTTTTGTAGACCATTCTAAAATATTCTAGAACTTTCTAGAAGGTTCTATTTCTACTTTAGATATAAAAACCGTTCGTTTATTAACTGTTTTGTTATTATTTATTCTTGGTCATTAATAATCGATTTTTGTAACACATTCTAAAATATTCGAGAACATTCTAAAAAGTTCTATTTCTAAATCAGATAAGAAAACGTTTTTTTTATTAATTTTTTTGGTATTATTTATTTTTGGTCATTAATAATCGTTTTTTCTAAAACATTTTAAAAGATTCCA